CCACAACTTTAAAGATTATAAGATTACCATTTCACATATCACAGCAACAAGAGAATAAGTTATAACTACATTTGAATGTGATCTTCCAACTTCTATTTCATACATTAATAAATAGGTTTTCAATATCAGTTATATGCCAAGGACTATGGGGGAGGGGAGAGGCAGGGCTGGGCAGGAAAAGCAAACAGTATCACTGCTCTAATGGAGCTAGCTTAAACTATACAGAAGCTACATAATATGTAATTTTAGACCGTAAGTGCCATGAAGAAATAACACAGAACACCATAATAAACTAAAAAAGGAGCCGAAACCGGTTTGGCTCAGTGGATAGAGCATCGGCCTGCGGACTGAAGGGTCCCGGGTTCGATTCCGGTCAGGGGCATGTACCTGGGTTGCGGGCACATCCCCCATGCGGGGCGTGCAGGAGGCAGCTGATCGATGTTTCTCTCTCATCGATGTTTCTAACTCTCTCTCTCTCTCCCTTCCTCTCTGTAAAAAATCAATAAAATATATTAAAAAAAAAAAACTAAAAAAGGAAAATGTAATCTAGACCAGAAAGTCAAAGTTTTCTGAAAAAGACATTCAAACTGACACCTGAAAAATAAATAAGAGTTAAGTGAGGGAAAGCACATTCCTTGCTAAAGCATCAGCAGGTATCAAGGCTGCAGTGGGGAGCAAATTGCTTACATATTTGGGAACTGACAAGCCAAAACCGGCATTTAAAGCTATGAGAATGGACGAAAGTACACATTAAGTTGGAGAGAAGGTAATGAGAAAAAGAGAGAAGAAAAACTTGGAGAGGAAGGAAAGCGGGAATGTTTGTGGTCACTTCAGGCAACAAAACAGTTTCAAGAAGGAAGTAGTAGTCAGCTGTGATAAATAATGCCGACAAGAGACGTGAGAACTAAAAGTCCCAAGGAGTTGGCAAAATATAAGTCACTGATGACTTAAAAAGAACTGTGTTGTGGTCACGTAACTACACCACCATATAAGTTCTTCCTTCTGTTCTTTTTTTTTAATTTACTTTCTTTACTTATTTACTGTTCTTGCCTACTCCCTGGAAATGATAATGACAAGTTTAAAGTCACAGAGCCTTTCTAGGTTAGAGCTGGATGAACCTGCAATTGGCATTTTGACCTAAAGGACTGGTGAAGTCTGATCTCTACATACCAGATTTCCTGACTGATTTCCCCAGTGTGTATCATCAAGTCTAATTTTATGAAAAGAAATGAAATCCCTAGCTCATCTCATTCTATAAGACCCAATAGTGTTAAAAACGGATATTAGAATACCTTAACTTAATTCATTCCTTAGTCACAATAATCATTTATCCTCTTCTCCTATAGCCTTATACAAATTGATCTGTGATTAAATGGGTATGGTGCTTTAACTTTAATCTAATATGACTAATTCAAATAACTTGAAATTATATCATTGATACATTTTAAAATAATTTACAAAAAATACGTTTAAGAGCTAACATATTTCAAATATATTTTAATGTTTTAATTTACAAATGTTCACACAATTTTTCAGGGGCATACATTATATAAAGCAAGTTATACTAATTTATACTTCATTGTTTTATATTAATAAAGAAAACTTATTTTATTCCCAACCTACTGACATTTGGCCACAAGTCAAAAGTTTTTAACTTCATTAGCAAAGAAAGGTAATAAAAAAATCTCAAACTGAATTTCATGGTAAAGAAAAGAAAATGAGAATGAAAATCTACAATATTTTGTTGTTTATTTACAAGTGTATCAGCATAACTCACTATTTCTCAATAGGAATACTACTGGCATTTGAGGTGAACAATTTTTCAATGGAAGACATTTAGATCCCTGTTACTTTCTAGTCTTTGTGGCAATCAAAAAACAGTTCCCCTCCCCCCAAAAAAATAGCTCCCCAAAATTCTGAACACGTTCCCTAAGGGTGTTAAATAATACGGCCTCCCATTGAGAACAACCAGTAGCAGTTTTAAAGCACGAGCTTTTCTATCTCAATGAAAATATCTCTAATGCAGACTCCCAGATTTCTGCCTTAATCTACAAATTATGTTGAATTTTAACATTTTTTTATGACAAAGGGTCTTAATTTTGGACAGTGACTATTATATGCTATCCTATCTCTATTAGAAAAAAAGCCCATGGCCATAACGCCATAACGCCCAATGACTGGTCACCAGGAGGTGCATGGAGCACCTCTTGGTCCCTCCCTCCCTTGCCTGTGAGTTGCTTGCGGTGGTGGGGTGGGGCTCATGGTTCACACGGCACAGCCCACAGGCTCCAGCACAGCCTACAGGCTCCGATTGCAGCAAGGCTGGCGGCAAGGCGTGTGCGGGTGGGCGAGGCTGTGAGGGCATGGGTAGGGTGCACGTGGGTGCGCAGGGCTGCCAGCATGGTGATGCGTGCGAGTGGGCAGGGCCGTGCAATTTCGCACACTGGGCTTCTAGTATATAATAAAAGTCTAATATGTAAATTGTCCCCTTGACCAGAGTTCCGCTGGGAGTTTGACCGCTTGATCAGTCGCTATGACGCACACTGACCACCAGGGGGCAGGTGTTCCAACTGACAGGTTAGTTTGCTGTGGGCGCTAATGGGCTGGACTGGAAAGTGAGGTGTGAGGTGAGAGCTGTCAGGGAGCTCCCAGGGTTTGGCCCAAGCCTCGGGCGAGGAGGGTGGGGGCCGGAGCCAGGAGGGTCCCAGTGGTGCAGGAGGCTGGCATGGTCATTAGCAGCCTGTGGTGTTCTCAGTGAACAACTTATAATCTCCTGAGATGCTTCTTTTTATTTGTTAAGTTTCACTAACTACTCCAGGAGAGTGGATAGCACCATTATGGGGGGACAGGCCAGACGCCCTTGGCCTCGGAATCCCAGGGTTCAGTAGTGTGGGGGGCGGGGCTGAGTTGGAGAAACCAAGTCCAAAATTTGAAAGGAAGCAGGAGGCACTGAGGGGCAGAGGGTGACAGCTGCGCAGGTGCCTAGAAAAGCTGCTGGGTGGGGGCAGCTGAGGAGCCCGATGCCTCTCCCAGCGGACAGGCTCCACGTCCCTCCCTCTCCCCCTTTAACCCCCCATGACCCGTCACCAGCTCTCCTCCAAGGCCCCACCTGGGCTCGCCCTGCACAACCCCAGCCCGCCCCACACAGCCCTGCCCTGCACAGCCTCACCCCGCCCCCGCAGAGCCTTTGGGGAGCTCCGCCCCGGAGGAGAAAGGGGGAGGCTGCAGATAAAAGGTCGTAGGAGGAGGGGGCAGAGCAGGGCCCACCAAGGTAGATGGAGGGGAGGGAGGGAGAGACCCCAAAGGACTGGGGACAGAGATGGGCGGGGAAGGAGGGCTGTGCAGAAACATCGCCCTTGGTTGAAGTAGAAATCCTGACCCCATTTTACAGGCCCCAGCAGTGTGTGTGTAGGGGGGGGTGGGGGGGGCGGCGAAGACAGAAGAGGGTGTGAGGGGACTGGATGGATGGAGAGCAGCGACGTTTAATTCATGGCCTATTTATTTTTATCTTTGTTAATATATTTTTATTGATTCCAGAGAGGAAAGCAGAGAGAGCAGGAGATAGAAACATCAATGATGAGAGAGAATCGATCTGCTGTCTCCCACATGTTGCCTACTGGGGATTGAGCCCACAACCCAGGAATGTGCCCTTGACCAGAATCGAAACCAGGACCCTTCAGTCTGCAGGCCAGGGCTCTATCCACTGAACCAAACCATCTAGGGCGATCGATGGCCTATTTAAAACCGCTGCAGTAGGCTGAGCAGGGGTCTTACCACGATGGTGTTACCTGATAATGAGGGTGTCTCTCCTTATGTTGGGGTAATCAGAACTGCAGCGAAGTAAAGACACACCCATGGAGCCTGCAAAGGGTTTCCATGCACACGATGCAATGCAATTTACTTCGTGTGGCAACCGAAGAGGGTGAGCAGAGCCTAGGAAGGACATGAGGTCTCCAAGACCAGGGGCTGGAGGGAAAGTGCGTGCTGAGCATTCCGCATTGTGGGTTACAATCTATATATATATGAAAGCCTAATATGCTAAGTGTCTGACCAAGCAGTAGACCAACCGGTCGCTATGATGTGCACTGACCACTAGGGGGCAGATGCTCCAACCGGTAGGTTAGCTTGCTGCTGGGGTCCAGCTCATCGGGTCTGGGGGAGATCGGGCTGGAAATACCCTGGCACCCTCCCCCGGCCCCTCCCCAGCCACTGGCCCCGATTGGCCCCAACTGAGACGGGGCAAGATGGCCCTGATCAGCCCCGATTGCCGGCCAGACATAGGGACTCTACCCGTGCACAAATTTTGTGCACCATGCCTCTAGTTGTAATATAATTAAGGCTCTTAAAAATTAAATTAAAGTATGTTTACCTTCAATCCTATATTAACATATTGCGTACCGCATAGAAATCTCTAAGACATACGCCAGGGACCGCACGTTTTTGGGCAAACTGCACGCTATTTAAATCATCATAATGCACTTTAGGTGTTGTTTTTCAATAATTATAACATTTTTATTTACAAAAACAATTAAACAATTAAAGTTCCTAGTACTTTTTTAACGTATGATACTGTGTAAAACATTTTCCTCTATGAAGAGGGACCAAACAAAATTTACATAAGTATCTAGATTCGCTCCTTTTTCCACGGGCGTGAAAAACGAGAACACTCGTGAGCGGTCCTTAACAGATGGCACGCGAAACACGAGAAAACTCCTGAGCGGTACGAAATGTGTTAATTTACCCCAGGCTGCTTTATTTGAATATAATAAGACTAATATCTGAAATATATACTCCTTATACGTATCTTTTCCATTGTATTCTTTGTGGTCAAAGTTATTTCTTCCTAGACTGCCTACCTTTAGCACTCTCCTGGCACTAGAGTACTTTTTATCTGCTAATGACCAAACTTACTAAATCAAAAGCCTGAATTGATAGATGAAGGCTTGAAGATGGCTCTAGGCCGCATAAGAATTAAAGTGCATGGGTGTAGAGATAGTTACCTTCTAAGAATTTATTAAAACTTACTTTTGGTTTTATAACTATACTATGATTGAAAATACCAAAGATCTGACAACTGAATAAATAAAAAATTAACAATGCAGTTATCACTAAATAATCTTCAGAAATGAAATACACTGCTATATACTATAAAATACTAATCATGGACTATAATTATAATATTAATTTGGACTATACTAATAATATTTAAGTAACTCACCTGATTTCTTTTAGTCCTTCTCTCTGGATAACTTGAAGAATTTCTTTATGACTCATGGGTGTATTGGGGTATTTTTCTAAGACCTGAGAAACAAGTATATAATAATAAATTATTTTTCTTATTGTAAGTTCTTATTCTTATAATTATATATTTAAGTGTATTCCTTATTCTTATTAAAAGTATGTATTAATTTCATCCAGCACATACATATCCAGAGATTTTTCATCCCTTATATTTGGGATGATAAGAAAATTGGAAAGTTAATGAAATATAAATAGGATCTTCTCTCCTTTAGTCACAAACAAGTCAAACCTGAAGCAGAAATAGGTAAAAAGGGTATGATTAATAACTCAATTATTATTAGTGCATAATATGAAATAATGTTTACTTTCTGCCTCTACCCCTACATCACAGGCCTGTGTACCTACTATAAGCACCTTAAAGATTATCCATCATCTTCACATTTCCAGCAAAGCCTAATAATACAGCATGGATGCTCAAAATTGCATAACCAAAACAAATTAATAACAGTTATAATGAAATTAAAATGGTATCTGTGTTCCGATTCTGATAAAAACAGAATAAGCACAGTTTATCCTGTCTCTCCCACTGAATATATACAACTAAAAACCTAAACAGAATACATGGAGCAGCTATCTGAGGATTCTGAAATGGTAGCAGTTGGCTTGAGGGAGGAAACCACAACTAGAAGTACCATGGGACTGCTTAGCCTGGACTCAATGGCAGTCCAAACTCAAAACTGCACTCTAAGTGCCGGCAGAAATGATTTCAAGAGAAGACTTTTCCTTTTTGGTCTGAAGAGCAGAGGGAGGACCCTCTGGGATTTTGTTTTGTTTTCCCTTTCTCTTGGCCCCTGTCCCCAGGCAATCTAAAGGCAGCAGTTGTGGCAGTGATGATAACAGCAATGGATAGAGAGGGACCTACACCTCCAAGAAAGGTCCCATGAGTGTGAAGGGAATCCTCATGGCTTATATTCGTTCTCTACCATCTTGCTGCTTGGCATGGAAGGCAGATGTGACTGTGGAAGTGTGTAGCAAAACAGAAATGACAACACCAGTTATCCAGTGACAGGACAAGGGAGAAGGGTCTCTAGAAGCCAGAAAGTGCAAAAAAAAAAAAGGAGCTAAAGAAAGAGATATCATAAAGTTCTATAAAAACTCCTGAGGTCACCCCAAACTATGCATATGGGGCTCCGACCCTCAACATACTACTTATCTGGTTCTCAAATTAGCCACTAGGAGGCGCATGTGCAGAAAAGACCCAAACAGTATGTACCTGTCCAATTTTTCCAACACCATTTATTGTTCAACTTTATTGTATGCTTTTGCCTCCTTTGTCAATAAGAGTTCTATTTTCATACTGAATTTGTTAGAACTTATACTGTCACATTTACTGCAAATACTTTTACAGTCTATTTTTCATATTTTCATTTCTGTTGTTTTTCTACGGAGATTTCTATTAATTTCATGTATTATAACTGATTAGTCTTTTTTCTTTAAAGAATCATTTATTTCCCAGCTGGCATGACTCAGTGGTTAAGCATCGATGCATGAACCAGGAGGTCACAGTTCAATTCCTGGTCAGAGTACTTGCCCGGGTTGCGGGCTCAATCACCGGTGTGGGGCATGAAGGAGGCAGCTGATCAATGATTCTCTCTCATCACTGATGTTTCTATCTCGCTCTTCCTCTCCCTTCTTCTCTGAAATCAATAAAAACATATTTTCTAATTAAAAAATAATAATAGTGATTTTTACAAAGAGAGAGAAATATCTACGTGAGAGTACAACATCGGGCGGCTACGTCCTGCACACCCCCTACCAGGGATGGACCCAGCAACCCAGGCATGTGCCCGTGACTAGGAATCAAACAGGCAACCTCCTGGTGCACAGGACAACACGCAACCAACTGAGCCACACCAGCCAGGGATCTTTTGGTTTTAACATGTCTACATTTAAGTATACCTTCCCTCCCTTCAATAGCTTAATATTTTTCATTTTCACTTGACTCTTTTAATTTACTTATTTTTAATAGGGAAATGTGCAAAGACAGATTATGAGAAAAATGTAGACACACACTAGAGAAACCAAAGAGGAAAAATTGAAGAGAAAACAACATGGCTACATATATTTCTGAGCAAAAATACAGTATTCCATTACATTTCTATTACAATATTATCAGTGTATTGCAATAATATTACTTTTTTTTTTTACCAAAGGTTTAATATAAATGAAAACACTAGTTTTATAAAAACATTTAGCTTAATTTAACCACAGGGGGGCAGTGTTTATCAAACAAAATATTCCATTGGAACTGTTTATGGAACCACATAACACAATTTTTAGAAACTACTTTGATAATCTGAATAACTGCACAGCCCAGCTGGCATGGCTCAGTGATTGAGCCTCGACCTATGAACCAGGAGGTCACGGTTCGATTCAGGTCAGGGCACATGTCCAGGTTGTGTGCTCAGTCCCCAGTGTGGGGTGTGCAGGAAGCAGCCAATCAGTGATTCTCTATCATGATTGATGTTTTTATCTCTCTCTTCCTCTCTGAAATCAATAAAAATATATTAAAAAATAAAATGTACAGATAAAAAAATATGACTCTTTAAAGATTTACTTCAGTGTTTTATGTCTTACTTGCTGTCCAAAACCTTGAATTAGGTTAATCAATGCCACAGTAATGAATGAGGTCACCCAGGAAATACTCAGAATGACTGATTAGGGCCTAGGCTACAGAGCCAATACCAATGTTTACGAGTCAGAGAAGGAAAACTAGGAAATAAACTAAGGAATGGCCAGAGAAACTGGAAGAAAACCAAAGAATATGGTGTCTCACAAAAGACAAAAACATTCTAAGAAGGATAAAGTGGTCAACAATGTCAAAAACTGCCTTGAAGTTGAGATAACAACTTCAAAATTCACTGGACTTACATAGCAATAAGAAGCCTTTTAACTAGCTTTACAAATTTAGATTCCATTTCATCAGGAGGGAAGAAATCAAATTTGAGGGGGTTTAGCACTGCATGGGAAGTCCAAAGTTGGCAACAGGGAGTTAAAACAACTCCTAGAGAAGTGAAGGAAATCTGAATTCAAGGAATTTTGTTAAATGGATTTGAACAAGTTTCACTGGACAAGAATAAAAGGAGACCGAAGTATCCTTAGCTACCTCAACTTTCCCCATCCCAACATGAGAGGCAAATAGATGCAGACACAAATGAGACAAATCCCTTAATTACCCGAACTTGTGCTAATTTGACACTCAGAAACAAAATTAATTCAGAGGATGCAGTATCCCACACCTACCAAACTCACTATACAAACACTCACGGTGTGAGTTCAGGAACTGAACCAAAAATAACAAGGAATACATGGAATTTATACAGAAGAAATAATTTATAGAGTCAAATATTAGAAAAGGAAAGAAGGAAAAGGACCTTACCTGGCTGCTTAGCAGTATCTCTTGATCACTACCTCTGTCCTGAGATGCACTTCTCTGTTCAGCTTCTGTGACACCAGACTCTCCTTGTTTCCCTTCTACCTCCTTCACCAGCAACTTTTCATTCTCCACAATCTTTTAATGTTGATTTTCCTCAGGATTCTCTTATCTCAATTTCTACTGCCCTTGGGCACTTCATCCTCCCATGTTTCAAAAGTATTTATGCTCCTGCAGCAGCACTCTATAAACCTCCATAGCACTTATCACACTGTATTTATTATAACTGCATTTTAAATCATCTGTCCTGCCCACTGGTACAGAGCTCAGGAGGGCTGGGACCATGTCTTATTCTTCAGTATCCCCAGTGCCTATCCATGGGAGGTCTAAAACCTGTGAAGGTTGACTGAGGAATTAGGAACACAGGCTTTCGACTATTGTAAAATTGCTTCTCTCTACATGTTTTTTAAACAAGAAAGATGAACGGTAAGTGCAATTGCAAATAAGTTTGTAGATTCAGGGGTAGAAACTTGAATATAAGAAGTGGCTGAGAATATTTAAATACAAATCTTTACAGAGAGGCAGCTTAGGAAAACCAGAGATTACACAGGCTGGCTTCGTAAGTCCAGGGGTAGTCTTACCTCAATTCTGAACAGCTCTAATCAAGTCATTCTGATACAGATCATTCCCAGCTTAGATTGTTTTTATCTGATTATCTAAGAAGTCCAGATGTTATGTGCACTCCCTAGTTTAAGCAACAAAGAAGTTCTCAAAACCTAATTTTCTCAAAATTCTGAAGAATTAATAGTAACCCTTAATGTTTTTCTAGCATTTAAGTGTCAGGTACTATCCTAAGTGCTTTACATATATTAGCTCATTTAATCTTTACAACAAACCTATGAGGTAGGTACTATTATGACATATTTTTAGATACGAAAACTGAGGCACAGAGAAAATAAGTCACTTGACCACGGTCACATCGGCTAATACGTGTTGGAGAACAAAATTCTTTGCTCCTAAGCCTTATGCTACATATACTCCCTCTCCATCAGCTACACATCCACACTACTCCTAAAATTAACTCTTATTTTAATGAACATTTACTAAGTATTCCTTACGTATCAAAAATTGGGGATACAAAGGTGAATAAGAAACAAGTCCTGTTGTTCACAACTAGGGTAGAGAGAAGATGGGGAAGGGAGAGACAAACAACTATAATATGAGAAGAAATACTAAAAAAGACATAAAGAACTACAGAAACAAAGGTAAAGAACCTTTACTTCTTCCTATAAAAATTATGCAATATTTCAAATAACCAACTAACTAACTTTGTCAAATCCACAAAGGACCAGTGTCAACCAGAAATTCTCAATGACAACAGGAGCGATACACACATAGTGCTTTTTGTCAACATGCAACAAATATTTATTGAGCAAATATTATGGTCAGCGCTGTGCCATATGCTGAAATACAACAGTGAATAAGATAGATTTAATTCTCCTAAGCCGGTGGGGAACCAGATGTTTAGTCAAACAACAAATAAAAACTTCTAAAAAAAAAAAATCCACAAAGGAAATGGAAGAACTTTCTGAAAAGATAGAAAGTTAGCAATTCTAATGGTAGAAAC